GCTCTTAGCTCCTCTTCTGATCTCCGTGAGTACTTACCTCTAGGAACTGTGGATAGGACAGAATGTGTCCTTTCCCCAGGTTTATTCTATTCCTGCTTATTTTTAAAACCACATCCTCCATTTATATCACCCTGGCAAGCATTTATTAATCAAGAAATGAGGCAGGTAATGAAGATAAGAGCTGAAGAAGATGCATTTCTTTCTTCGGAGAACTCATGATCTAGTAAGGAAGGTAGTGAAGAAGAGTAAAAAATACCATGGTAATGACTCCGAGGAAGTGAGAAAACGGCATGATAGGGATGCCCAACCCAGCACAGTGAGCAGAATAGCCTGGGGGACTCCATGAAGGCTTCTTCAGGAGAGATCATATTTGAGCTCCCTTTAAAAGAGGTGAGTAGGTGTGCTGTAGATGGAAAAACATGGAGGAAGTCATCTTTCAGGCAGAGGGGACAGTGTGAACAAACACGTGGAGTGATGACATATTTGATGTGTTCGTGGTCTGTGAGTCAGGAGTGCTGTGAGAGGCAAGGTTGGTGGAGCAGCCACTCCAGAGTTAGACTTTGAAGACCCAAGCATACACTTTGCATTAAACTGAGGCGGCAGATTATTTTTCAGCAAGAGACTAAACACAGGTTCCTTTTCTAAAAGAAAGATAACACTGATCATCACACTGTGAAGGTTAAGTCCAAACAATGGGAGGGCCAATGTGAGGGTCAGGATCCATAGGCAAGGATGCTGGGGTGTCCAGATGAGACCTCCTGTGGTAAAGAAAGTTAGAGCATGCCATCCACATGTGAGAGAAAGTTTAAAAGTCATCGGAGTTTGTTGTTGGATAGATGGTGGAAGCTGAGGGAAGGTAGGGGATCACAGAATGAACAAATGCTCTATTTCATGCTCTGTGCTAGATCAGCAGCCATGACTCGAGATTATGACACACAGGAATGATGAGGAGTTGGAAGGTAAGGTGACCACATAAGAGTTTGAGGAGGCTAAGGATAAAAAGGGGCTTTAGAAGGGAGATGTGGTGGGCCATTTGGAAACTCGTCAAATCCAACAAAGTTGTGCAGAAAGACGGAAGGAAGACGAGAATAGAGTTGCTCAGCGTCCAGGTGGGGACACTTGGAGGCTACTACTGTTAACGTTTGAAAGAAAGGAAGACATGGAATGACAACTATGTGAGAAGAGAATGAGAAATGTTTCCAAAGAGAGAATTGTGGCCAGGCTTGGCAGAGGCAGGTGAATCTGTATGAGGCTGGTCGACATAGTGGAGAGAGTGAAAGAGCAAAAGAGTCAGATAGATAGATGTAGTTGGTTTTTTTTTACTCTTTGGGGGCCCACCACCCAGCTCCCAAATAAATACACAGAGACTTATTCTTACTTATGAATGATCCGCCTTAGCTTGACTTGTTTGTAATCATCTTTTCTAATTTAAATTATCCCATTTCTCTTTAACTATGTGTTGCCTCTGGGCTTTTTACCTTTCTTTATTCTATATATTTTTCTTTCCTTCTTACCCCATGGCTGGCTGTGTGGCTGGGTGGCTGTGTGGCTGGCCTCTGATGTCCTCCTCTCCTTCTTTTCTCACTCCTCACTCTTCTCCTGAGCCTAGATTTCTCCTCGTATTTATTCTCTCTGCCTGGCAGCACCACCTATTCCTCTCCTGACTAGCTATTGGCTGTTCAGCTCTTTATTAGACCAATCAGGTGTTTTAGGCAGGCAAAGTAACACAGCTTCACAGAGTTAAACAAAAGCAGCATAAAAGAATGCAACACATCTTTGCATCATCAAACAAATACTCCACAGCATAAATAAATGTAACACATCTTAAACTAATATTCCACAACAGATAGATGATAGATAGATGGATAGATAGATAGATAGATAGATAAATAATTGTTTTAATGTGTTTATAATCAAGAAAAGCCACGTTGTAAGGGGAGTGGCTGAAGATATAGGAAAGAAGAGAGACAAGAGACAGAGAGTACAGTCCATGCCAACTCATAACAGAACTAGTGAACAAAGTGAAATCAGAAAAACTAGATGTAGGGCGGTGGTGGCGCATGCCTTTAATCCCAGCACTCGGGAGGCAGAGGCAGGTGGATCTCTGTGAGTTTGAGGCCAGCCTGGTCTACAGAGTGAGATCCAGTAAAGGCACAAAGCTACACAGAGAAACCCTGTCTCAAAAAAAAAAGAAAAGAAAAGAAAAGAAAAACTAGATGTAGAGAGGGAAGAATGAAGGAGAGCTAGTATTTATGGCCCATGGAGAAATATAACAAGAATTTCATATTTCACTTCATTTTTATTAAAACACGTATAAGAAAAGAAACACTACCCCCCCCCTTTTTGAGAAAGTGGGAAACTTTCCAAGAGTGAGTGCTGCCTTTTAGGAGTGTGGATGTGAAGGACCATCATGGGATGACTTTTTCTTTGTCTATGAAGAAGGATTGTCATCTTCCCAAAGCAGAATAAGAAATGACATGGAAAGTTCCAGAAGAATGGGAGAAGTCCTGAAGAGTTAAAACCATCACATGATGCAGAGTAAGAACAACTCCACACAGTGTTCATACCTGTAGTGATTGGAAGCTCTCTGTCCTGACAGTCCTGGAGAGTCCAATTAGTAGTTATTTTGAAGAGTTTCCAGAACATTGCAAACTTTTTCCACCTTAGATTTGGAAGGCTTTGTCCACCAGGTTCTTTCTTCCATGGACTCACTATTTAAATTTTATGTCAGGCTGCTTTAGAATACATGTGTTCAGAGACCACAGTTCCTAGCTCTTATTTCACAAAATTTCAAGCTCACAAAGTAAATGTTCTAGGCCATTCCCCACACTTCAACTCTAGCCAAGTAATAAAATGGCTTCCATTTTTGTCTGGCATATTCTGTGGCATTGATTCGCCACCCCATAGTCATGCGCTTTCTGCAAGTTTTGACATCAGAAGCCAGGCATATGACAGACCTGCTGAGAGAGACAAACCCCTTCCTGTCATTGGGGAATGGCACCAGCGGGTGGGAGAATTGCCTGTCACACTCCATCTATTAGGGTTCCCTGTGGTTCGTCATCCTTTCAGTCTGAAGCCACCTTGGTGTCTCAGGGTTCATAGCATCTGCAGCCTGACACAGTTGCAACTCTATCCCACACAGAAACAGCAGAAAAAAACAAGACTCCAGGTATCTGCAAACAATGGGCAGCATTCAAAAAGAACTTTATAAAACCAGAAGGGGGAAAACAAATCTCAGCTGTGTTTTATCTGCCTGTTTATTTGTTCACAGCGCACCAAGCAAGGTTTTAGGATGGCCTTTCTGTGTCAGCCTGTCACCCTTTCATACAGGTGGCTCTGATTTCCTCCCCTGCTATTAACGGAAAAGACTAAATGTGATTGCCTAGGGCTTTAATTTACATGTCAAACACAATTACACAGGAAACAATCCAGCAGAGTGTGCCCTTCTCAAGGGTCAAGACCTAGGTTGATGGTGAATTCTTGATAGGAAATCCTAAAAGTTCAGCTATCAGTGGCCCTTTGTGGCATTCTCTTTGTAGACTCCTGGCTAGTTAGGAGCCCAGAGTCACTTCATGTGACCTTGTGCCGGTGAAGAAAAGGAGGCTCTTAGTCAAGTTCACAGTCTGCTGGTAGTAGACACGGGACAGACTCCCCTTCCACCTCCCAACATAACATATAGTGCTCCCAGCTCCCTGCGGAAGCTCTTCACCCCCCAGTTGCTGGAGAAGGGTAACCTGAGGTGATGTGGAGTGGTGTAGCCATTTAGGTGGCTGATTGCAGGGCACCACAATATTCTTGTCCTCAGTTTGCCCCCTGTGCAGATTATTCTGACTTTCTATCCTGTACCCTTAGAATCTGAATCTTTCTTCTCTTCCCCTCACTATTTGGTGATGGCTGTGTGCTTAAGGGAGAGCAGTTTGAGCAAATAGATTTTGTTTTTACCACCTTACATTTCAAAAGCTTGTGCACACTAATAGATTAGAAATTGGTGTTTTGAGGGGCTGGGGAGATGGTTCAATGGTTAGGTGCTTGCTATACAAGGATCTGAGTTCAGATCCCCAACACCTATGCAAAAAGTTGGGCCTGGCAGCACACATCTGTAACTGCTAGTTGGGGAGGGCAGACACAGATGGATCACCAGAGCTTGCTGTCCAGTCAATCTAGCCAGTTCAATGGGCATCAGTTTCAGTAAGAGACTCTGCCTCAAAAATAAGCTGGAGAGTAATAGAGAAAGGCACTCTAGATCAACCTCTGGCCTCCACAGGCATGCACACCTGCACACACACACACACACACACACACACACACACACACGCACGCACGCACGCACGCACACGCGCGTGCGCGCGCGCACACACACACACACACACACACACACACACACACGCACCACAAATAAATTAGTAACTTTTAAGTCTGTCTTTTGATTTTTGGAGGGTAGGGGTCAAGCCCAAGGCTTGCACATGCTAAGCAAATGCTCTATCACTGAGCTACAGGCCCAGCCCGTCTTTGGATTATTTGTAACATGTCATCATCTATTAACAGGCAGAATTTGTGTCAATGATTGATACCAACCCTTTCTAAGGCATCAGTGGCCTCTTACAACAGTTGGGATGGTAGAACCATGCAGAGCTTTCTATAGCAACTGTCTGGTCTCCTGGCTGGACGGTTTTGGGATATAGTTGATCTTTAGATGGCACAGACATGATTTTTCATGACTGAAAGTCACTTATTCATCAGGCTTCTGCCATGCTAAGGGATGGCTCAGAGTCTGTGACCTATTCCAGCAGGGGAGTCTGAATGACCATCGTACAGCTCTGGTTTCCTCTTTCAGAACAAGTAGACATTCTACAGAGTTGCTGTTGGGATCATGCTGTTCAGGTTGGTGGTGTACACGCTGTTTACTACAGAAACAGGCACTAAGCAAATGTCTCTAGTTCTGGGATTTTTTTTATTTTTATTTTTTAGTCACCCCGTGGGAATACTGGGAAAGTCTAAAGTACATTTAAGAGGAAATCCCCAGGGCGACAGTGGTGCACACCTTTAATCCCAGCACTCAGGAGGCAGAGCCGGGCGGATCTCTGTGAGTTCGAGGCCAGCCTGGTCTACAGAACGAGGTCCAGGACAGGCACCAAAACTACACAGAGAAACCTTACCTCAAAAAAAGAAATCCCCAAAGTGCTTCTCTTACACACATAGGCAGGATAATTTGATGGTGGACAAGAACATGCCTGAGAACCAGGTAAACCTCTCATAAGAAAAACACATCCTGGACTGGAGGGATGGCTTGGTGGTTAAGAGCACTTGCTGCTCTTGCAGAAGACCTGGGTTCATTGCCTAGCACCCACACGGCAACTCACAACCATCTGTGACTCAGGCTCCAGGGGATCCAGTGTCCTCTTCTGATCCGTGCAGGTAGAAGGCACACATGTGATACACATACGTATATGCCTATTCATAAAATAAACAAATCTAAGTTAAAAGGAAAACAAAGTCCTCTGAAGAGTTTCATCTTTGCCTCCTTAAACACGAAGAAACTGTAACACAAAGGAATACTTGAAGAACTCAGATCATCTTTCCCCAAAGCTTGAAGTCCTTGAAAGCGTAGCTTAGAGATTGCTCAGTCATTTTGGAAAATGGTTCTGCACTTGCAGATTTTTTTTTTTTTTTGCACTCTCTGATATTTCCTTCCCCAGAGAGACTCTCATGTGGACAAACTACGAGTTAACAGCCGCGTAGACATTCATGTTAATAGCTTTACTGCACAGGTGCTCAGACATGCTAGCGATGATGAGGAGTGGGTGTGTACTGGGAGCTTCCATGTATCACCGGTAGCCATGCTTCCGCTATTTTCCTGGTCCATTCAATGCTATGAACTGCTTCCAAAATGTTAAAAAATGATGTGTTCATAGTCTGGATTGCTTTTTTCTGTTATCCGTGTTAGTGTTTCTGTCTGTTCTTAAATAGCTCACTGAACAATGTGGTGTTTTGTCTGATCCCTCCTCCTCTCCCACCGTTGAACCTAGTCTAGCTCTCCAAGAGACGTTATTTTGCTGCTGAGTCTTGGGGACAGAAAGTGGTACTCACAATGTTCATTACTCCCCCATGTAAGTCTCTTATCATAAGCCTTTGTTTCTGTTCAGGCTTCAGATGAAACCACAGTCCAGGGTTTCAAGGGGCCTTCCCTCAAACACGAGTATCATTAAGGTGCAGAAATGTCCAAAAAACAGATTTACTAGCTTTCGATTAAAAGCCTGAGAACAGATTAACTCATTTCTCTAATGCAGGAAGGGCAAGTTGAAAACAGCTTGACGCCCTGAGACCACTGGCCTGTGAGCGTCACAGCCTTTCAGGGTTTTTCTGATAAAAGCCTCCAAGTGTGCTTGTCCATGTTTGGTTAAATTATTGCAAAGCAATACACAGCAACTCTCTGCTTTTATTTCCACATCACCCCAGTGTAGGGCTAATGGACTCTTGCTCTGGCTGAGTGCTTGGGTGATGAGCTGATAGATGGAGGGGAAGTCATCCTTGGAAGGAGCTGTGTTAAAACGTTACTTAAAACTCTGCTGCTGAGTGGCCATCGCCGGCGTTTGCCTTCCCCAGTGTCACGTGGAGCAAAGAAGTCAAAGGGTTTCAGTGACATATTCATTTGACCTTGGTCTAATTGACAGAGGTCTAATCTGTGTCTGAAGAATCACACGCATCTTCATCACTGATGTCAATAACGGCATTGTACTTAAAAGTTTTTCCTGAGCTAAGCACCTAGTTAACCAGCATATATTCATGGTCTAACTTAATTCCCTTCACAGAAATGAGTCAGTCTTATTAATTTCTCAACTTCACAAAATCTGGGAAGCTAGAAGGCTTCTTTGGGGTTACAGGGGTAACACGTATATTTGAGGTTCCAATTTGGGTCTGATTTCAGGGCCTGAGTTTCCAACAGGGTTGTGTCAAACAAAACAAAGGAATCAAAAATTGCCAGACATCTCTTCTTTCTAAGGTATGAAACTAGATTTATGGGGTGAAGGTGAAAAGTAGCATAAGTCACCTGCTTCGAAACAGCTTAAAAATTGTCACTCAAAAAGCCATTTAAAACCAGCTAACAAGAAGCTGTCAAAGTGGCCCAGCAGGCCCTTCCCACCCATGTGGATGATCTGAATTCAATTCCCAAAACATATATATCAGAAGGAGAGAACCATGTCCTGCAAATTGTCTTCTGGTCTGTATATATGAGCTGTGACACATGCATGCCTTTACCCTCACAAACATGCGCACACACACACACACACACACACACACACACACACACACACACAATAAATAAATGAATGTATTATTTTAAAAAATAAGAAGCTAGCTAAGGCAGTACAAGCCTGTAGTATGTTTGGGAGTTTGAGGCTAGCCTGGGCTGTGTAGTAAGATTCTTTCTCAAACAAGACAAAAACAATAACTGAGTAATTAGCAATACAAATGCTCAATGTGTGAAATATGTTATGTTCATAAAGACATCGCGGAAGAGGTAAAATTGACACCAGGCTTTGAAGAATGGGCGAGGTTTACACAGACTGAAAACAAACAGGGAAAGCATTCACACAAAGGGGGTGGTGAGAAGAACAAGCCGAAGGTGAGAAGGTGGGAGGCATTTGGTGGTGAACGGTTCCTAGTGACTGGAGTTGGGGAGACAGTGAGCTCTTCAGAAAGGAAGCATCCATGTTATGATCTGTTAGTCCAGCAGATTCCCACTGAATGCCTGCTTTGTGGAGGTGTTTCCTCAGAGGGAGACAGGAAGATGACGGTGAGCCTCCTCGGTAACCAAGTTCAGAACATGGGACTTTATCTTGTAGACCAGAAGCCCCCACAGTCAGGACTCTGGAACGTTTAAAATGGATTCAAACCCTTTTCTGAAAACTCCCCAAATGGATTGTTTATCATGTTCTCCATCGCCAAGTTTTTTGTGGACTTCACACTGGAGCAGAACATTCCTCTGACTAACCATCCATTTATCCACACAGAGCATGCCCGTGTTCAGGTGATGGTCGTGGCCGGGTGGGAAGGAAACCTATTAAAACATCAAAGAAAGATAGTGAGGAATTAGGTTACTGTCATGTCATAAGAACTGAAAATAAGAGAGTTTGCACGAAGTGTGGAGTCAAGGATGCCAAGGTGGCAGAGGTTGGCAGATGTGACAAAGAGAAGGCAAGGCTATTACAGATCCAGAGGGTACATGGGAACCTGGGTGTTGTTCTACTAGTGATTCTGAAGAACATATTTCTATTCCAGTATCTCTGTGTGTAGAGGTGGGGGTGGGGTGCGTCAGCAGTCTTACTGGAGACGAGTCGATAGTAAATGACGGTGACAGTTGGTCATTTAGTCCAGCCTGTTCATTTAACCAGCTCAGTGGACAAAAAGGGGGGAAATGAAGATAATAAGCAGTAGCATGAATACAGAAATGAACCAATGTTTTATTTCTTAAAATGGGCGAAACTAATGCCTACCCATCTATAAAGGACTCATTCAAGAAACTGATGCAATTAGAAGCAAAATATCTATGGGTTGGGGTATAGTTCAGTTGTTAGAGCACTTGTTTAGTATGTACAGTGCCCCAGATTCAGTCCCCAGCACTACATGAAACTGGATGTGGTATGCATCCTTATAATCCCAGAACTCAGGAGGACAGGTTAGGAGTCTCAGTAGTTCATCCATGCACAACTAAACAGAGTTCTAGGCCATCCTGGACCACATGAGACCTTGTCTTAAAACTAAATAATGAAAAGTAAGAGGGAAATTTGCCGGTTCCACTAGGACTCTTGACATTCTGATGATAACTGGATGGGTACAACTTCTCAAGACTGACAGCTCCCTTGACACAGTGCCCACTCATCATGACCCCACTCAAGCCCTTGCCTCCACACCATGGGTCCAGAGCCTCCTTAAACCCATCCATCACTAAGCTGCTATCATAAGAGTTAGGGTTGCAAAGACGAGTAAAGATGCTGGCGCCATGGTCAGAGAAATTCACCTTTTGGGGGCCTAGTCAGATTCACAAACAAACATATTCCAGCTTGATCGCTAAAAAGGTAGAAATACTTCTATGTGCTATGGTAATAGGATCAGTAAAACGGTAGAAATACCTCTATGCGCTATGGTAATAGAGAAAAGAGGCCATTAGCCCCACCTGGGAGTATGGGAAAAGTTGCCCAGAGGAGATGATCCTCAGTGTTTATATTTGTAGGACATGCAAAAAGAAAAAATAAAAACAGGCAAGGATTGCTGGGAAGAGAATTTTAAGCAGAGAAAACAACACAGTCAAATCACAGGGGCCAAACAGAGTGTGATTTTTACAGAAAACATCGTTGTTTTGCAATTACCATCATGTGAAGAAAAAGATGCTTTGAACATGAGTCTGGATAGGTGTATGAGATGAGGGTATCAGGAACCAAGATCCTTCAGATCGTGCAGAAGGAACTGGGGAACTGCTGAGGAATTTAAATGGCACTATGTCATATGTATGTGCAGATGTATGCTGCTTATAAATAAATGATCCCAGGAGAGTGATTCAGTCAGCAATGTCTTTGGCTTTGATTTACCCAACACCCAATTCACAGCAGCTCAAGCAAATGAAGGGTGATATTTTTCGCTCAGGAAGTCCAGAGAAAGGAGGCTCCTACCCCAGTTTAGAAAACCAACAGGGCAATCAGGAGTTTTTGCTTTTGATCCTCATTGGTATTATTTAATGGTTCCCTGAAGGCAATTGCTACTCAGGGATCATTTGAGGTGGGGGAAAGCAGCCAGGATTATCTTTTATGAAGGAAGCCCAGGCTTTCCCAGAGCTTCATGGTACACTTTTTTCATATTTCGTTGTCCAGACTTTGAAAGAACCACTTTATTTGAAAAGATGGCTCTAACAAAAGATTCTCCACAGTTTCCATAATCAAGGAGGACAAGGAAAGGAGTGTTTGAAATGAATGTATAGATAGCCAACCAATGGGTACCTGCTACAGAGATTGCTCTGTAGCAGAGGCTTGGAGATTGTATAGCTTATTAATAAATAGGACCCTGTGCCGGGCATCAGAGGTGGGACCTGGCACAAAGAAAAATATTGGGCACGTGTTTTAATTGGATGAGACAAGGCCATGGAAGGAAGGGTACTGGGGCTTGGTTACCATTAGCACACAATATGGTCTGAAATCGTAAGGATGTTTTTTCTGCAGAATCTGTAGATTTTGATGTGTTCAGGTTAATGGTTAAAAACAGACAACACCCAGCTTTCTGCCTTAGTACTGAATCTGCCTTTCCCTTTTGCATACTTTGCTAGTATGAGCCATACTATATCATACATAATGATCCAGTGACCATTAATTCCAGAGCTAAAATTGTGCTAGGCCCTGGGGAGAATAAACAGGGTGAAGATCAGGAGGTAAAATTAGGAGAGTAAGAGCCATGCTAGTCTATACGTAGCTTATGTTTTATAGAGCGCAACTGAAAAATAGTGTAAGAAAAACAGAACTGTTTGTTTGTAGCTTGGTACGCACCTGGATATCAACAACCCAGCCACAGGCCACAAGTCCTGCATGAGTTGGGTTTTATTTGTTTGTTTGCTTATTTATTTATTATTTATTTATCTATTTTGCAGTGCTGGGGATTCAACCCAGGGCCTTGTGCTTGCTAGGCAAGTGTCTACCACTGAGTCACACCTCTACTCCATGAGTTGAATTTTGGTGGTTCTAACCCCTGTTCCTCTCCCTGTACCATTTTACAGAGCAGTCTGACTGCCTGGCTCATGGAGGCCTGCTGGAGGAATCCATGTTCGTTCAGCAGCCCCCTCTCTAGCCTTCACAGGTAGACACACATTTGCAAGAGTGTGCCTTGTGTCCTTTGTCTTCTCTCCTCTGGCCAACTCGTCAGAAGGAATGACAGGAACTCTGGGGACTCGACCTTGCTTATTTCTAAATACGGAAAAAATAAAACCCAAGGCCATTGAGAGTGTTCTAGAAATGTTTCAAGGATGTGGACAATTCCTGAGACTTTGAGCTCTCTGGAGTAGCTAAGGTGTGATCTCGTTTAGATTTTTAACATGGAAGTGATACCCTTCCCCACTGTGCTTTGCATCTTTCCTTTATTTACAGAGTTAGAGCTCATAAAGCGTGCTGAGTTGGTCTGGGAGATGCTTAGTCTGTAAGACGCTTGCTGTGCATGAAGAGTTAAACTCATATCCCAGGTCTGCTATAAAAAGCTGCATGTGGCCGTGCGTGCCTGCGATCTCAGCACAGGCGAGACTGAGACAGGGGAATCCCAGAGACTTGCTGACCAGCTAGTCTTGGGAAATTGGTGAGTTTAGATTTAGTGAGAGACCCCCATCTCAAAAATAAGGTGAGGGGTGACAGAGGAAGACCTCTAGTTCCCCCCCACACACACACACGTACATATGCACACTCACACCCCCACACATGTGCACACACATGCCCAGTATGTTGAGTAGATGAACGCTGATGCATAGCTATTGTGTCAGGAGCAAAGAGCACTGCCCTTTTCTTATTGCTAATACAAATTAGTTTTAATACCTCTGGACACAAAGGCAATGAAGGCTTTGAGCTATGATTCTGAAATATTCCCCTATGTCTGCCCTGGTCAAGGAATAGGGACTTGCTTGGTAAAAGGACTTGAGGAAACTTGGATTAAGACCTTAGAGCTCGGGCTCTTTCCTCCACAGGCCTGAACTTTGTTTTGCTCACTCTGGGATCCAAATAGCTACTATGTTATTGCCATGGGATTCTGAACACTCAGTAACTGACTAAAGGTACATACAGGAGAATAGCTTCACAGTTCATTTTTATGAGTCTTAGACCCTAAGAAGTTCACAGACTTCCACCTACATTAACTTGCATTATCTTTCTCCCTCCCACTCATTTCTACCTTCTTGAATTCTTCTAAAGAAGTATCTTGAAAGAACATGAGTGTCTCCTTTGACAAACAAACCACACCTCCCTTCAGATGCTCCAGTGCTCAATTTCTGAAATTCCCAAACAGTCTGATAAACAGTCCCAAAAGACAGAAATACTGCATTTTCTTTAGGCTGCTTTATTTCTCTGTCTTGTTTGTACACCCCAGCCTAGGATGTTAACTGCTGCAGAAAAACCACTAGAAATGTCTGCAAACAGCAGCAGTCAAGTTAACCCCAGACTTTACCCTGCTAATGTGAACTAAACTGAATAGTAAGTTTTCCAATTGGCTGACATGTTCTGGGTCTGGTTGGATGCCCTGGGCAGACAAAGCATTAGAACAAAGAGGGAGTGATGTGAGCTGGCTTCAGGGGAAAAGGAATGTTCTTTGGAGGGGTAAAGTCAAATCGTTTCTAGAGTATAACGGCAGGAAGTTCATCAAAGAAGAGGACAAGGGGAGCATGTCACACAGGAAGCTAGAAGCAGGTGTGGGACACACCTAAGCAGCAGTTGGGGAGATGAGGAAGCGAGCCATTAGGGAACAGGCAATGCATCATTAGCAACACACCTCAAAACCGTCACTGCCTCCATCTCTATAGATATTGGAAGAAATTCCTATCAACAATGAGAAAGGGGCAGTAGACTTTGCTTCTACAAAGACTATTAATATTCCATAATGTTGTGTGTGCACACATGCCTGTAGGATACATGTGTGTGTCTGTGTGTGGAGGCTGAACATTTTCTCGTTCCTGCCCACCATTTAGTGCTCTGTTAGATGGAGAGATTGGGCTGGGTTTGGGTATCCTCAATATCCTCAAGTTCTCTGCACTGTCTAATTATTAAAATTTGGTTTGTCTGCTTCTGGTTTTTTATTAAGCATCCGCAAGGACAAGTCTCTGCCCTGGACATGCACCTGGTCCTCCGCTTTCAAGGACCACTGAGAACTGGAATACAACATACACGTAGTAGATGTTCCAGCAGTTCTATGCTTGTTATCCTCTATATGGAAGGACCTTAAGAGAAAGCTGAGGTATCTAAGGAGAACTCTTACAAAAGGATGCTGAACTTCAGTGATGTGGATGACCTTGCATGTTCATTCCTGTAGGCATCGTGTGAACAG